ACATCATGTCATAGATAAACAGATATATATATTAGTTTGACGATCCTATTCAAAATGGCCGAATGGTGGTCATTATTGTGCTAAAAAATCATCAAATATCAAGCATTTCTGGCATTTATGGATGGATTTCGTTCAAACTTGGTACATATATTAGACATTACAGGTTCCTGATGCACAGCATTTATTTTTCAGATTGGATTCAAAATGGCTGTCTGGCGGCCATTTTGTTTTAATGAATGGGCTTCTAGAGCCATTTCTCTTAAATGCTTTGACTGATTATGTTCAAATTTTATATATTCATTATACATCATGTTATATATATACATGTACATGTATTCAAAATGGCTGATTTTGAATGCTGTTCCAGAGCAATATCTCTCAATATGGACAAGTACTTGTTTGACGATCAGATACAAATGTCAATCATTTTAATGTTAAAAAATCATATTCCTGACATGGTTATATTCCAGCTATATTACTACATGTATAAACAAAACTATACATCTTAAATTTGATAACTAACGGGGACTGTGCCATGCATGGCTTGTTATTTATGTCTATGCCGATTCCTCACTAATATATTGCTTGGTTCAGATGAAAGTTAGTACACAAGTACTATATCTAATAATGACTTGATCTAATTTGATGCATCGTCCGCCTGCACGGTGTTGTTCCGTTCGGACATTCCTCCCTCTACAACACCGTGCGGTAATACCATTCATAACCGTGTATGTCACGTGGTTGCGCGATAGAAAGTTTACCGACCAATAGAAAGCTTTGTTACAAAGACTGGCAGAAAGCGCTCGGAGCTCTGCATTTCTGATGTTTTCGGCTTCATTACTGCCGATATGTGTTGCAGTGATATCACGAGCTTTGGGGTATAACACCTACTCTTCTATAACAGTCAACAGTGGTGACAACACTATTATTAAGTAAAGCTTGAATAGCTTTGGTCTGAATATCAGTGAGTTGCATGATGTATGGATATTTTCGCTGTATCGCCTCGACATCCAAGCCACCACAGCTTTAGCTGTGCTCAGCAACATTTATTCTCAGGTCAGGCATTTTCACCGCCTGGCAACCATCATGGTGAAACAAAGACCAATAAATTCTCAGAAAACGGTATTTTTGGAATGGTTGTTGTCACCCCCTACATCATGTAAAACATATTTAAATTTGGTTAGATTTCTTCAAAGTTAAGTTTGTGCTGTTTTCTCGATTTTAGCTATTTTCACCGGCTTTTTGGTCAGTGCACAGCAGCTCGTGCAGAGTCCATAGAAATACATGGTAGAGTGGTGCGCGTTTTGTGACTTAGCTCCGCCTCGAAGATTTTGATAGCTTGGCCAAGCGCATTGAAGAAAGAAGTTATATGATTGGCTGTGTTGTTAAACTGATTCTAAACTGTGAGGGCATTGTCACATACACATAGTCCTAATGAAATACTTCAAGGTGATAGTGGAGTGCTTCGCCGGAACATTCACCTTGAAAATTCAAGATGATTTGATGACTTGACAGTCATTTTGTAAACAATTCTAAAATTGCTGTCTGTAAATGTTTCTGGAATCATTTCTCACAGAAGCACTTCCAGTTGTGATTGAACACAGAGATCCACTACAGGGAAAAACAACATGGGATTGTGCGCTGCCAATGCTTGTACATCCTGTAGTACCCAAGGACACTGCATAGTTGCTATGGCAACACTATATTCTTTGCAAATCTTGCATACATGTATGTGTGTATAATTTTTCTACTTCATTTTTAGTTTTTACGAGATGAATTACAATATGAAGATGATTTTGATAGACAGACCACATTTCATGGTGATGATAATTTTATCAGTGTTGATGATCTATGGCTGGCATGGAAAAATTCAGAAGGTATGTATAGAGATTGCATTGCCTCCTACAAGCATGTAGCATTCACAGCCTTTAAGGTTTTTCTGAGTGACTTGGTGGTTATTATGTGCTACAATGTATATATTGCTGACATTGTGAATCATAGACCTAGCCTCATTGTACACAAATTATGTTACAATAACTATCTGAGTCAGTTTGTAATCAAATTTGTGTGGTTTCCTGTGTAACACCAAATGCTAAAAGTCAAGCTAAGTTGTGTTACTAGATTATTGCACAAGTTTAGTAGATTAGTTATGTGTCTAATGTGTATATCATCTCCTTTAGTGTTCAAGTAATTCCACAATCTCTGTATATACTACTTTACTGCATCTACTCAATACAGTTGACATAATCTAATCTAATGACCTCATTTCATACTGGAAAAGAGCACTCTAGAAATCATTACTCGTGTAAAACAAGAATTACCAGCCAGTTCAAATTGAGTCTTTTTTAAAACCACATTATTTGAATCCTGATATATGCATTAAATAAAAGCAATCATCAGAATTTCTTGACAACCTTAAGTACTCATCTTTTTTAGCTCCGCTGTCGACTTTGTCGAGCGGAGCTTATCATATGAGTGATTGTCCGTCGTCGTCGT